GTTTAAAAATACTTTGGTGTGCGATTTGAGAGTTAAGGATCGGTTCGGGCAAGACACGCCGGTAATTTCAGAACGTAACAAACGTATCCCCTCAGCATAACATTTTATATTACCGCGCTCATATCGTGCCAATGTTTCCCCGAGGTGAAGTAAATTTCAGGAGGTTTCAGGAGGTAGAAGGGAAACATCTCGCGCGCGTTCTTTCGGAAAGGAGAAATTGAAGGGTTACGTGGCCTTAAAACGGGCCATTATGTACGAAGCTTTCCGTCGAAATCGCACCTTTCTCGTAAATCTCATATCTATTAATTCTTGCATGGAACAGTCGATTAGCCGATGCACGCGCGCAAATGTCGGCTATTCGCGAGAAATTGCACGGAAAATTGAGTCGTGCGAAGAAGGTCGACGGCGGAGCGCGGACGGCGAGAGCTCCATGTAAAAGTCGTATAAATAATTTTTATGCGACTTTGACTTCGAAACGTAGTTCCACTTCTACTGAAACTGTACCGTTTTATCTCGCCGTGCTCCTTCGACATTTCCCCAAGGACATGTAAATTTGTACGGGAAAGAGAAAACGGTCGTGTCGCACCAATGACGCCGAACTGACGAATAATTGGCGCGGGATAAAATCGGAAACTTGAACGATGCAGAGAGCGTAAAGAAGCGAAGAAAGTTTCGCGTCGATTCGAGTGCACGGGCAAGTACAGTTGTTAAAGCCGTTTCGTCGTAATTTCATTGCATATTCTTTCTGTAGATACATCGTCTTATTTCGTTCTAGTTATGTTTCTGCAACATTTCCCCGGGGCGGAGTAAATTTGAGACTAAAAGTAAGAAAATATTGTCCGCTCCGTCGGCGAGGCGGTAAAGAAGCAGCTTCGAGCGCATACAAAGGGTCCACAAAATAGATCACTCGTATCTCCAACGGGATATCACAAGCGTTCCACTTTAAAGTTCACGCTTGTGCAATCTCGCGCCAATCTTGCGAAACGTGTGAATGATCATTATTAATCTATTATTATCCGTATGACTGTTATTCCTTTCCCTCTGAATAACGAATGATTAATTTCACGTGTGTGCCTCATGAATTTAATCAAACCCAAAGTAAGTCCAATTCTAGCAAACATTTGCGAAATTAAATTTATCCTATAAACGAGATATTAATTATACAAATCGACAAATATTGCCGATACATTTAACAGATCTCATTAAAATATAAAGAATATAACGCCCCATAAATGCGTATATCAAGCGCTGGACTGATAGGAAAAATACGTCAAAACGATATCGATCGTTTCATGCAGGATATTTCGAAGAAGCGTTAATATTCAATCGCAATTGATTGGGAAGCCGATTTATATACGCCGATATAAATGTGAAATGGCAAATGTCAATTTTTTATCGCTTTGATGTTCTCAGATCGTTGCGAACTAAAGCAGAGATAAACTTACTCCGCGCTCGCACGCTATAATACGCTCGTTTCAATCCGCGGAAGCTACAAACAATTTGCCTGAAATTGCCGTACGTGCGCGATAACCGCTCGGGAGAACGGAAATGGCCCTCTCGAGAATGCGGGTAAGCGTCATCTTCTTCGCGGCTCACGTCTTACAAAAATTCGCCACTTGTGCCGCTTAGAGCACTCCGGGAAACTATGCAGGCGGTCGGTAAACTGTGCCCACCGAGATGCTCACTCTCGAGATGCTTAAATTGCCATTACGCTAGCAAAACGCCCGAGGGACTACATCGCTTGACTTTGGCAAATTTCGCTGTTAAACTTTATTGAAGGTAAAAACATGGAGGCAGCACAAAAACCACGTGCGCGCGTTAAACTGCAAATGCATCCAACTTCATTAAACTTATCGCGATCATAATTGAAGATTATAACTGAAATATTGCGGCACTGCTGTACTAATAACTGTTTAAAATAGAAACATCGCGTTTAACTAACAATTTGTAAAACCACTTTTACTAGACATCTTGAATATTTGAAGAGAACATTGTATACACAATATGTGATAAAAGTTAAGCTCGTACAGCGGAAGTAGTAGCACGCAGTTCTGACGCATTTTCGTTATTCTCTTCGCAATTCTGTACTCACAACGAACGTGTACAGAAAATTGTGTGTGCACCGTATACTATTGCATCTTTAAATCATCGTTGCTCGATCCTTAAATACCGATGTTCTACGTCTCTTATTCTTTATACTCGGAGCCGTTTTTCAAACAAAAGATGATCGTCGAATAACTTTTAACAAAGTGCGCCTTCGTCTTTGCTGCTCTTCAGTGAAATGTAGGCGACGATGCTTGAACACAAATATGCGATTGTCCTTAAAAACTCGCGCAAATAGAACAAGTTGTCATTTTATCACACTACTTGAATAAGTCGCGACTTATTCAAGTAGTTTCGAAAGCACTTCTCTAAAAACGATTACTATCACATTGTAATCCAATATTAGAAATTTATTACAGAAATCTACTGAATGATTGAGCAAACCATTTTTGCACAAAATAACCAGTAAAACTATTTTTGTCACGTACGGTGACCTTTTAAATTTCCAAGTTCATTCCTGTACATTGTAGATTCCGCTTCCTTCGTATTTATATCTCTACATAACTTTTTAATAATGGCAGAAGTCACGTTATTTAACGATATCGACGTCGTTATTTTTCATCGAACGTATCTATAATTAATAAGCTACGCCGAAAGGTAACAGTATCTGTATACATCATATGGGGTCGGCAAGCAGTTTATTATTACTCCTGGAACAAACAAGCTGCTGCCTACGCCAAATGCACAGAAGAGCTAATTATATCCAGAGTAACGTTATATCTGAATACGTGTAGCCGTACCTAATGATATTTACGATAAACAAATACATTCCCATTGCGTATCGATAAAATTTTTATATGCTCAATCACATATTATTTAATTGTCATAAATATTGTATTCATCTGTTTTGTATATCCATTTAAGATAAAAATTTGTTTATTGAAAGCTTTCTCACTAGTTTTCTCACATGCGATACAACAAAGGTATCATAATGTATTATCATTTTTTTTATGGGATGACAGTTTATGGGACGTATGTTATCATACGAAGAAAAATTTCAAAAGATAATGACAACGAGAAATTTGCCCTGTGCCCATTACTATCCGTCAAACAAATGCTGACATACAATATTGACTGCGTATACAAAACCATATATAGTTACGCTTGTGCAATTATATTTGTGATAAATTAGCATTTTCACAGCATATCACAATTACCAAGTATGTATGATAATTATGTAATAATATTAATATCTCAGATATCACTTCAATCATTCTTTTCGGTTCGAAATAAAATGCAACGTACGTAATTTTTCCAGAAAATAATTATAAAAATAATACTAATGATATTATCTGCATTAAATTCAACAAAATATAGTTAAATTTCAATTTAACCAAAATCAAAACCTAAACCAAAAATAATTAGTGTAACAAAATGTATATTCATACTTTAATAATAAAATTTTTACTTAGACTGAATTAATATTTCTCTAATTTACTTGTCAGATAGAAATGGAAAACTCAACATATTACTGATCAAAGAAAATTCTTGACAGTTAAATCGTTCTGTCCAGTTTTCATTTTACACTGGCGCAATTTTTGTTTACTGAACAAATACAAAAATCAATGCAATCGTATAAAAAAACTGAACCGAATAAATTGAAATTTGCTCCCTATAGATGTGTTTGTCTATTATCGATATATGCAATATGAATAATTCTGATTAAAAAACAGGATTATTAGAATTATCTGTTGAATTTAATTCTGTTAATTGGAGAAATTCTAAGAAATGTAATAAGAATGTAATCTTGATTATTTCATAATCAAATCTTGATTATTCGCGACAAAATATTTAATTAATTACGAAGAAGTAAAGGAACAAGTACGATGTATTATCGATATATGCAATATGAGTAATTCTGATTAAAAAACAGGATTATTAGAACTATCTGTTAGATTCAATTCTGTTAATTGGAGAAATTCTAAGAAATGTAATCTTGATTATTTCATAATCAAATTTTGATTGTTCGCAACAAAATGTCTAATTAATTACGAGAAGATAAAGGGACAAGTACAATGTATTACCCCGGTACTTCCGGGCGTCTAAGAGAGTCTTGTATCCCATACTATTAATATTAATAATGGCGTTATCATCAAACTTTATCATTGTTTGCCCATCGAGCAGGGTCTAAATACGTCGCCGTTGCAAAGAGAAATCCTAAAACAGCGTTCCTGTCCGCCCCGTAGTTCGCGTCGCCGCCACCACTGGCCAGCAAGCAAGCAAGGCAAGCATAGGCAGGCAGACAGGCCAGGGGTGCAGGAACGAGCGGGGTCGACCCTGCGCGCAGCCTCCCCAGTCCACCCCGAAGATTCAGTCGTCGTGCGGCAGAGGAGGGCCGAGGAGCGCCCGGTCGAAGCACCGAGGTCCTCTCTACTCTCTTCGTCTCCTGTCTCCACACGCGTATCTCTTTTTATCCACCTCGTGTTCTCTCTCTGGACCGCGAACTGAAAGCGACCGGCTCCCACCTCATCCATCCTCCCTCTCTTTTTTTCTCTCTCTCTCTCTCTCGATCTCTTCCTCTTTCTTTTCTCTCTCTTCATCTCTCGCTGCGAGCCGCGAGTGAAAACGAGCCGGGCAACGCCACGCCGACCTTCACCATTTTGGTACACGCAGCACGCGACGCACAGTCGTGAAGCTGCTCGTCCTCGCCGATTCTAACGA